CGGAAATGAAGTCATCGATGGAAGCGTTGATACATCACTTCAAACTGTTTACGGAGGGCTATAGTGTGCCCGCAGGCGCCACTTATACGGCCATTGAGGCACCGAAGGGCGAGTTTGGCCTCTATATGGTGTCCGACGGCTCGTCCCGACCCTATCGGTGCAAAATCAAAGCGCCCGGATTTGCTCACTTGTCCGCACTCGACTACATGAGCCGTACCCTACTGTTGGCCGACTTAGTGGCCATTATTGGCAGTTTAGATATAGTGTTCGGTGAAGTGGATCGTTAGGGGTTGTTGTCAGCCTACCTGTGCTCATTTATTTTGCGCTCATATATTGTGTTTTGATTTTTATCTTTTTTGGGTGATTTTTAACTTACTTTTATAATATAAAACTCTTGTAATTTTAATTGACAATTAATTGATTAAATTTATAGTAAAATAATTTTAAATAATGATTCAAATATTGCTATTATAATCAAACTATATGATTAAAAGCGATGGTGTTTTTTGTTATTAGCGCAAAGCATTGGAAATGTGGTAATTTTTGAATATCCTTTACAATACAGGATCTATAAGAAACACCAACATCATATTTCGATTAAAACCGAGATAATCTAATGATTGGTATTATTTTGATTTAAACTGTAAACAACAAGTTATTCTGCAAAGTTTACAATATAATTTTTTAAAAATAAGTGGTTTACAATTATTGTGGTAGAAAACTAAATCTTACTTTTAAAATATTTTACATTAAAATAAGTTATTGTATTTGTTTTTTAATGTTTACTTGCTTAATCATCGTTTTTCGTGTAAATTATATTGCAATTATTTAATATTAATATAATTATGTTACTATTCGACTACCATATATTAGAAAGCATTTTTAATGATTAAAGAAAATTGTAAAATTAACATTTACTAAATACGACTTTTATCATAATAGATTTAATTACTACTACTATGAGTTTGAATTTTCTGTCGGACCAGAGTTTAGCCTACGGGCTAATAATGTTTGTAATTGTAATATTAATTTATCGGTAAGTTTGGTGTAGAGTACAAATATATTACTATATATATATTATTTTTAGTTAGCTTAACATGTTAACAGTTAATAATTTTATATGTATCAAGGTACTTTACGCGCAATTTTGACTATTTCACCAAACAAGGCATCACTGGCCCGAAGCCCATACCACTGTTGGGCAATTCGTGGGAACAGTTGTTTTTTAATCGAGATGATTTAGAGATACGGAGGCTTAAAAAGTACGGCAAAATATTTGGGTAATTATAGTTGATTTATGCGTATAAAGCTTATTAAATTACGGTAATTAAGTAGTAGAATGTTATTAATATATTTCGCAAGATTTAATTGCAAAATTGTGAATATGTTTAAATTTGTAGACAGCCAAAGTTTTAGCTGTACAAAAACAAGTGTAGAAGTACTTTACGATATGACAATTAAAAATGTTAACATATTCTACTGAAACCAATTTACTTGTTTGTCATCTACAGTAAAAAACAAGTACCCGGACTCCATATAGAGGCCAAACTCGCCCTTAATGTTAATTAATTTCTAAATTAAATACAATATAACCTTGATAATTACATAAATAATTTTTAATGACCACCAGAGTATTCGAGGGCAACCGTACGCTTCTACAGGTGGCCGACCCGGCCATCATCAAACATATACTGGTGAAAGATTTCCACCTGTTCACTGACCGGCCGCTGCCGACCAACGCCCGGCACCCCATCGCCAGCGAGAACCTGTCCATAGCGGGCGGTCACCAGTGGCGGCGCATGCGCTCCACAGTGTCGCCGATGTTCACCTCAGGGCGCATGCGTCGCACGTATCCACTTATCGGCCACTGTTTGCGGCAACTG